TTGTTGCACATACAATATTAATGTTTAGAACAGTGCAAATACAAACATCATTAGAAACTCATAGCTCAGCATCACACACACCATGATATGGGTTAAAATAAGAGCCCATTTCTCTCCAAAACGGTGCCAGTTTTAGCGTTTTGCAATAAAGAAATAAAAATAACTAAACTTGATCATTTATGCTACAATTTTAACATAAATGCACAATAATGCCATACCTTTTACATATATTATGCTGACTTCGTGGGGAAGTCGTGGCCTAATGGTTAGAGAGTCGGACTCGTAACCCAAAGGTTGTGGGTTCGAGTCTCGTACCAGCAGGGATTGTAGGTGGGGGGAGTGAATGTACAGCGCTCTCGCCCACCTTCAATACCTTGAGCAAGGCACCGAACCCCCAACTGCTGTGTGTGTGCACTTTGGATAGGTTAAATTCCAAGTATGGTGACCCATACTTGGAATTTAACCTATCCAAAGTGCACAAAGTGAAAAAAGTGAGGGTGACCCATACTTGGCCACATGTCATTTCACTTTTTTTTACTTCACTTTTTTCACTTTGTAAGGAAAAATGCATTAAATAGCGAGGTATTTCTGGGGAAACTTTTTCAAAGGAAAACACACACATGTCTCTTTGCTGAGCCGCGGCGGTCTCGGTGAATCGGCAGCATCCACAACTGAACGGAACAAAAAGTGTTGAACTTGAAAATTGTTTATGCGCGAGTGCACTTGCTAAATGAAGGCGGATTGTATAAAAAGGATAAAAAAAAAAAACACAGTTTATTAACTAGCTGCAGTTTTATGACATCACGCGCTGGCACAGATGCAGTATATTAACGCCACGGGTCATCAATGAGGTGCAGATTTGGTCCTCAATTTGTGTTTCCAACACACTTTTTCACAGCGCACATCACATGCTCAAACTCATCAAAAGTCAACAAGTTCCACAAGCAACAACGACTTATCCAAGTGACTGCTGCAGAACGCACGCGAGAGAGAGACGAGGCAGCGCAGACCGCGAGTCTCATAAGTGAGTGGGAATTTACCAAACGTGGCACTTGCGGGAGTTAACATTGCACGTAATACCTGCAACCGCACACCAAATTTCAGGCCGTGTAGATAGGCAAGCATATATACAAATCATTTAGTAAGCAGAAATCCGAAATTTACCTTAACATATTAAGTTAGAGGAAGATGCGACTGAATTGATGCTTGAAGAATGCGCTTCCAGCAGCCATGATAAACAGTTGGCGGTTACAGTTTTCTATGCTCAATTTGATTTGACGAAAGTCACGAGACCTATTACTCTCTATCCAGTCACGTTGATGGATAAAAATAAAATTAAAATAAGCATGTAACGACCACAAACGGAGGAAAATAGCGGAGTAAAAGTACCGATACATCACTTAAAATGTACTTAAGTAAAAGTACACAATTTTAAACTACTCAAAAAAGTACAATTACTCATAAAAAACTACTTAATTACTGTAACGTGAGTATTTGTAACTGGATATAGGACAAAATCTGTCGTTTATAATCTTTCCATGGTTTCTTTGATTAATTGGATGAAAAAACAATAATCCCAAAACAACCATTTTAATAATACATTTTAATCTAATGCTTCCAAAATTTCACATCCTGTCAAATGTTGTTCTCAAAAATATATGCCGTTTAAGGGCAATGAAAACAAGTAGTGAATGTAGCTATGTAGGCTGTGCAAACATTATGTGCAAAAAAGGTTAAAATTGAAATTGAAAGTTAAAGTCACTCAATTAAAAATGATCAAGAAAAACAAAAGCACAGACTTTAACTGGTGCAAGGTAGGAGGGAATGCACATTAACACATGTGAACATATTTATATTTATACTCCATTACAGTAGACCCTTTGCTGTCACTGGTCTCAAAAAATAAATACAATTACACTCTTAAAAATAAAGGTGCTTCACGATGCCATAGAAGAACCATTTGGTCTAAATGGTTCCATAAAGAACCTTTAACATCTGAAGAACCTTTCTGTTTCACAAAAGCTTCTTTGTGGCGAAAGAAGGTTCTTCAGATTATAAAAAGGTAAGAAAGAGATGGTTCTTT